TGGATATGTGGTCCACTGACATTATAGAACTTTTTAAAAATATTTATCAATCAGAAACAGATTATTTTAGTTAGTTGTCATCTTTCATTTTAAACACTTCAAGCTTCCTGGATCCGTATGGAGCGACTCGATTGGTGTTGCTATGGTTTCCTGCCCGACATGAACACTGAACTTTATATTTTATTCTTCTGTCTGTCAGTTTAAAATAATCCAGTAGCTGAAGAAGAGCAGATGATGTTTAATCAGAAGGAAATGTCTCTTTTCTGGACACCTGAAGCATCCCAGTTCATTTTGTTTTCGGCTGCAGTACCGAGCGGTGGCCACTAGATGGCCCTGTTCATCTTCTCTGACTCAGGATTCAAAGCTTTGACTCATCGATTGTAAACTGTATTGATGATGAACTTTTCTCATCACCAGTCTTCAGCCATGTTGGAGGATTTCAGAGCAGATTGAAACAGTTTCATCTCTAATAATTAGAAGTTTTCCATCTCCACAAATCTTACCTTTATATTTTATTCATAAATCTTTGAAGTTTGGAGATGTTTTTATTAAAGTACATTAATTTCCAGAGGTGGAAATCAGATGTTTTTTTCATTCCGTCGCCTTCGATTGATTATTGACAGGCTGATACTGTAATTAATGCACAAATTACCATCATAACATTCTAGAAAAGCGGAAAAATTATCAGGAAAATGTGACTGTATGCTTGATGGAAAGAACTTGTTTTAGTTTTCAACATATTGAAAATCTGATGAAACAGCAAAAACACCAAATAAATAATAAAATTCATGTTTAGTAACATTTCTGTGAACTATTTAGAAAATATTACTAAACATGATCAACTGATTTTAATAATTGATCACAAGGAGACATTTTTCTGGATAGTTTTTATAACTTTTTTATTTAATTTTTATTAAAACATCGACCACCAGAGAGAGACACCAGTCCCATTCATTCATTCATTCATTCATTCATGGAACAAAACATCTAAATACATTCTTAATAACACTGAGGTCTGTTTTCTTTTAGTTTAGTGTCTAAACTCTGATTACCTGTGAAATATTTCAAACAATTATTTTGTGATAAGAACTTAATAGAAAAGCAAATTTCTGTGCCTCAGTTAAAAAATGTGCAAATGTTGAACTGGACTCCTGAACTTTACTGGATACAACTGTATAAGAAAATATTTGTAAAAATCTCCTTTTTTATCTCCCATTAAATTTCATGTATATTCAAAATGCCTGTAAACTGAAAACATGGTGTAAGTCATAATCCTTGTTTGTGTGAAAAATGTGAACCAGGAAGCTGAGTTTGCAGACAAACATGAAGATTTCAGTCTAGAACGTAATGGAGACCCAGACTGAATACATGACTGCTTCCTTTCAAGATGAAGCGATTAACCAGCAAACATGATTCAAACACAAGATTTATTCACAAGCAGGAAGTAGTTTCTTCCATAATCTCCTTCCTGGAGCAAATGACTGGAGGTACAGAGGAAAATCTTCCCAAAAGTTTCCAACTTGAAACAAAGCAGTTTAATTTGAGATCAATGAGGAAATAGCCAAGTTAAAACCAGTGAGGGAACTTCAAATGCTTTCATTTCCAACTCATAATTATATTACGAGTTGTCAATGAAGTCAGTGGCAGTAAATTCTCTGATCACGTGTTCGATTATTAACGATGAAAGAATGTAAATGTCTTTGATGTTCTAGTAAAACCAGGATTGTTTACTACATTGAAGCCAATTAGGAAACACCTGCAGTCATTTTTAGATTGTAGGTTATTTTTAGATTCTAGATTATTTCCCTCACCAGGATTAGTTTATACATTTTATATCTGTTCAGAGAAACTAGACCTTTCCTGGTTCAGGAAACAATGAACAGGAAAAAACATGATGTCATTAAGTATCATAGTGGGAGGAAATGAATTAAAGGAAGCTAACAGGAATTAATGCTGATGGACAAGGAGGTAAAATACAGGAATAAATGGAGAGAAAGTGTAACAGGAACAGGAGGGAGAGAGAGAGCAGCAGGGAACCAGAGGGGCTAATCAGAGGGAAGTAGACGCAGCTGAAAGAAATAAGCAAAGATGAGAAAATTCAAACAAAAAGAAAGAAACACTGATCCTGGGAAACGAGTCCAAAAATAAACAATGAGAATACATGCAGAACCGCAGGAATAAACTAAAAATATGAGTAACAATAAAGCAAAAAACAGGAACAAACAAAAACCAAAGTTATAACATGTAAAGATCGCAGCGCATTTATCTTTTCAAACTCCATTTAAAACAGGATTTGTGGATTTATTGAACATTTTGGACTCATTCATTCATCATCATGTTGTAAAAATGTTGGAGATGAGATAAATATAGGAAGGGAAATGTTAGAGAAGTCTCTGATTTTTGTTGATTACTAAATTACCAGTATATATATAACATTTTAGAAGTTGCTCTCATGAGTAAATGCTTACATAAGCAGTTCAAAAGGTGAAAGCAGGTCACATGAAATCATTCAGTCTCTGTTTTCTGCTGATAATCATGAGCTAAAAATAGAACTGGAGAAACCAGTTTGTGTAGCAGCTAATGGAAAATCAGCAGAAGAAAACTGACGAATGAAACCAGAAACATGATGATTTTAAATACACAGTCAGCAACACATGAAGCTTTGACTTTTGGAGCTGATTTTGTTTCTGGAGGAGGATATTTTACTCCCTACAGTTCAAATGTTGAGTCCCTTTGGTTTCTGTTAAACCTTTTCATCTTAACCTTTATCATCTTAAACTTTATCATCTTAACCTTTGTCCCATTCAGCTTTTTGATTTTTCAGTTTGCTGGATTTATCTGTCATTTGTTTCATCCTTTGCTTTTCTTCTACAAATGCAAAAGGAGCAAAGTCACAAGAGAAAACACAGTGAAACTCATGTAATGGTGGATAAAACAGTTTGTTAATAAACGGTTAATAAGTTTCCTCAGACGCTAAAAACCCCTAAAAGCTTCACTGAGCCTCTGCAGCAGCAGGTTCAGTTCAGTTCAAAGTTCAACTTGCCTCCAGTTTCAGGTCAGGATGGTTCATAATGGGTTGAGTCTCAGATCTCACCAAAGCAGTGAAATGTGTGTGAAATGTCAAACATTAACAGTTTATATGAGAGGGAACAATTTGATCACAAATAACTTGTTTAGAAATTGAATATTATCTTTCATGAAGGTTTGTTTTTTCTTCCTGCCCTCAGATGAGGATTCAGCTTCAGCAACATAAACTACAAGTGAAACTTGTAAATCTGCACGTGAGCCAATAAATGGCAGAAGGATGATTTATGATGCTAAAAATAACCCTCTCTTGTCATTTAGTTAATCAAAGCCGCTTTGATTAGGAGACAGAGAAGATCTTTGTTTTGAAACTGCAAATCAGTGACTATATTATCTCTGAGGGAAACAGATAAGAGTTTCTGTTACAGGAAGAAATTAATGTTGATCTAAATCTGCTCTTTGGGTTTAACATTTTCATCTGTGCTTCGAAATAAAATGGTGTGAAACTGCAAATAAAACTAAATGTAACAAGAAATTCAGTTTTATTGTTAAATTAAAATATCCAATTATGTTTTTATTTTATGAGTTTAGAATAACAAACAGCAAATAGGGAACCAACATTATTTAGCATAATTAGAAAAAACTGAGGGAGATCGTTAATATTTATGCAAAATGAAGAGAAGAAACCTCCTTAAAAAATTAACTAAAATAAGCTGCAGGTCAATAAGATGAAAAAAAAAAGAAATTCAAAGCTAAATGCTAAAACTATCATTTTCTGTTCTGATTTTCAGTTTCTTTAAATAACTTCAAAACTCAACAATTTCTCCATTTACAAGGTGAAAGGTCACAGAACATTTTAGGTCAAACCTCTTATGGTGAAATACATGAAACTTTACTTTAGTGTATGAATTTAGGAGAAAATGGTGTAAAAATCTACAGTTACAAAAATGTGAGGTAATTTTAAGATTGCCTAACATCCACCGATGTTGGAGCATTTAATGACACAAAGTTTATAAAAGCAACCATCTGCCTGTTTTTTCCAGCCTGTTTGATTATAAAACAAATATATTTTGTGATCCTGACAGAGAAACATCAGAACTATGTTATATGAGGTAATTTGTTCAGTGTTTGGGTTCCTGCTACTTCAAGATCCAAATGAAATTTGCAAGCAATCAGAATCAAAAGAGCATCTTCCAAACTCCTAAAGAATAAATAAGATGCAAATATATTTTATAACTGAATTGACGATTTCCTTCTGAGACTTAGTAATGCTATTAGAAACTGTTACATTAATAGTAATAGTTTGGTAAATGACCAGACTAAATTTACTGAAAATAATGAGTTAAAAATTCTTTATGGTATTTTTTCTTTTCTGATAACAGATGGTGTGTCAGAGTTACTGTAACTTTTAGAAACTATTCTGGAACGGTTCAGTTTTGGTAAAACTATTTAATCTCTTTCCTGTGGGTGAAACTGAGCCTCCTGTGTCCATCTGCAGTCAGAAGTTTCTGTATTTAAATTATGTGGCTCAAAGAGTTTCAGCAGAGAAAACAAATGAGTTCTGGGTTCTGCAGCTGCTGGTTTTCTTTGAGACGTTTCTGTGTTTGTAAGTACTTATTCTTAAACAGTATTACAGAAGTGATGTTCTTAACGCCGGCGTTCCACAGGGGCGTGTATCCGGCCCCCAGCTCTACAGCTTCATCACGCACTGCAACACTACTGAGACAAAACTGATCTGATCAGGCAAACTAGCGAAGCACGCTACAATCACATCTAAACCAGAAAACAGAAACTAAGACACCAAACTCCACCTGGGAAACTCTTAGTTTCTCTGAAGCTGTCTGAGAGTTCAAAGGAAGATTTCACTTCACCATTATGTATGAGGATGGATATGAAGGAAACATGTTGGTTCAAAAGGGTTCGAAGTGAAAATCAACCAAACCCAACCTAACCAATAAGATGCAGGACACTCATAAAATAATAATAAACATTTATGGTGAAATTAAGACTCAAAAAATGAAATATATTCAAATGTAAAGCAAAGCAATTCAATAAAAAGTTCAATACTTTCATAGCACCAGTATCTATGCAATACAAAGTGGTAACAAAAAGATGCTAAACAACTGAAAGGACAGCTAGGCTTTAATATATTGAATAAAAAAATTAAAGTTAGGCTTTAATATATTGGATAAAAAATTAAAGTTAGGCTTTAATGTATTGGATAAAATCACAAACTGGCCCAAAAAGTGGGGAGAAGTACCAGAAAAATCCATCAGGACTTATGTTTACACTGAACTTCTAAGCATCAAAAAACATGTGAAAATGTAAAGTTTTGTAACATTTAATGACCATTGAATAATATACACACCCTATTATTATGAATGCTTTGTGTTTCTGGACGCACAGCAGGGAGCCCGGTCTGCATGACGCTGGTTCTCACGTTATCAGCAACTCTCTGGTATCACTGTGGAATAGACGGTCGGGACAGAACCTGCATCTGGGGAAAAGCAAAGAGAGACGAGATAGAAACTGTCTTCACGGTAAATGAGTCCTATTTACATAAATTAACAGATAAAGTCTTGAGGCTTTCAGGGGATTTCTGCTCTGTAGATGTGCAGTTTTATTAATCATATTTTCTAATTATGAATCTCCTGAGGAAGTGCAGAGAGTTTGGTCAGTCTTTCTAAATGTCGCTGTGCTAAAGGTCAGCTATGCTAGCTTGACTATGACAACTGTAAGATGTAGATGAGATGTGGAATTGCTTTGGTTCAGTTAACACAGACCTAAACACCAACTCTCTGAGATCATCAGGGGTTTAAATTAGCTAATCAGCCACCACAGTGTTAGCTTAGCTAATAGCAGTGGTAGCTAATCTACCACAGCTATCACTTATTAATAATCGCAAAGGTCTAAAAACATAAAACTATAACAGACTGATGTTCTGTTCTTTGCGTGGGAAATGTTTGAGTGTTTTCTGTGTTAAATCCTGAAACATAAAGTGTTATTGTTGTCAGTTGTTAAGACAACTAGTCTGCTTGTAACAGTTTAGATTTTCTTTAAAGGTTTTTCTGCATTAGTTTTTCCTTCGCTGTGGCGCACTGCACTAAATTAATAACAATATCTTCATCTCCAGGTTTCCTTCAGCTAACTGAGTTATTCTCCGGCGGTTAAAGAGGAAAAGAATCGTCTTTTTGCCCTCCAGCATTGTGCACATGTGCAAAGTTTCTAAATGTGACAATAACATGCACAGGGTCTGTACTGTGTGCACCATCCATCTAAACCACATGATCTCTCTAAAACCAGACGCTTCCACTCAGGTTAATCATTTCTAATCCACAAATTTATCTAAAGGTTTATTTCAAATCTTATTAAGAAAATAATCAGTTGCAATAATGGTTATTTGACCTGCTTTATTTGTTGCTGTACTTCATGCCGCTTGTTGTAGGAACTGTTACCAGGGTGATGGACACGCCTCTTGTCATCATAGTTATGTTCTTCCTGTTTTATGAACGTCAACAAAGGCGTGCTGTCTGCGTGGGATGACGGAATGAAGGGAACTGAGCTTTGGAAACTGAATCAAAGTTCAGTTTGTAAACCATGTCAGAGGTGACCTCCTCTGAGGCCGTGATGCATTCAGGGACGTTTGTTCATCTCAGTGTTTCCAGAGAGCGATGTCGACTCACCAGTGATTCTCTGAGGCTTCCTGTCCTGTGAGATGGTGACTTCAGTGTAGGACACAGAACGGTTCACTCCACCTGCACAAAACAACCAATCATGGTGACGGCCGGACAGGGTCAAAGTTCAACATTTATCCTACGAAGCTGAAATGCTGTCATCAGATTATAGGTCAAAGTTCATGAATGGTTTCTTGTGTCTCACAGAAGCAATAAAAACTGATAAAGTCACTGAACCAGGATCTGTTGCAGTTTCATGATTTTATTGCCTTGACAGTAAAAATTTGTCTCTTAAACTAAGTTGTTGTTTCTATGTTGAAAAGTGTATAAAATAAAGTTTAAAGTAGTTTATTACTTGGTTTTGCTTTGGTAGATAAATGTTTTATTAAAATACTTTGTAGCGGATATTTATTTCTCAGTAGGTCTAAAGTGTGTATGATGTCACTAAACCTTTCACAGAGAACATTTCAGGTTTTTAATTTATTTTTAATTTAAGTCTCAGTTTGAATCAGTCTCAGCTGACAAAAGTGCTTACACTGCAAAAACACAAAACTCCTAAACATCAAGTATTTCTGTCTAGTTACTACAGCAAATATGTTAACAAAGTTGAACTAAGATAATGACATTTTCCCATATTTTAAGTGAAAAAAATTTCCATTGGAATTTTTTTTGTCAATATTAAAAGTTAACAAAAAGCTATGATATCTTGATGAAAATTTACTTGTATGTTAGTTTTGTCTTATTTAAAGTGTTTGAAGATGTTTGCACCAGAAACTGACAAAAATACTTGATAAGATTTTGTGGGTTTTTTTGTTGTTTTTTTAAACCCATTTTCAGCTGTGAGTAAAAATATAGACTAAAGTATTGCAGATGACTCACACTGAGGGTTAAAGATGGAGTATGACATCATAGTTTACTCACACTGAGGGTTAAAGATGGAGTATGACATCATAGTTTACTCACACACAGCGTCGTACCTGTCTATGCATCCTAAGTATTCCAACTATTAAAACTCTTCCATGCAGGTCAATGAGGCATTTCAGTGACATAAGTGACATCAGTGTCTTAATTGGCCTCTAAATTGTGTTAGGTGTGAACCCGAGTTCATTTTTAGCCTTGAGATAAAATTCCTTTTATAGAAAAGCATCAGACAGTGACAACAGCATCCAGGGAGATGACATGAAAACACACCAAAGCAAGAAATATGTTTAGTTTTTCACGTCACTCATCGTTGTGAGGTGGAGCAACACAGAGTTAATAATAACCTCAGATGTTATCAGCAGAGATATGAATATAAAAATATTAAAACCTACGCAGTAAAAACCTGCTGCGTCAAAGATAATCACATTTCATGTTTGACATTTAACGCCCTTCGTTCTTTCACCTCCATAATAAAAGACATATTTGACATTTCTTTATTTAGACGTCAGATGGAGCTGCTGTTGTCACGGCACAGACTGAGAAAAAAGAAATCAGCAAGAAGAAAAACCTGAATCAAGACAAACAGGATTGAAATGAAACAGGCTGGAACATTAACTGTCACTTTCTGCTCTGTTCAGCACATATGTAATTAAATTTAACCTAGGATGAGACCTCATGCCTCATGTTTTCATTTCCTCAGTGAGAAAATAACATGTTTCTAAAATAAATCACTTCAGAAATGCTGAGGTTCAGTCGGTGCAGACCTTAAATAACCTCATGTGGTTTAAGTTTAACATCAGCATCAATGTTTCCCCTGTTAGTTTATGCTCAGAAATGCCTTGTGGTGGGAACTAAAAGTGACTAAAACAAAAACTAAACAACATTGAAGAGAATCATTTACAATGTGACAATTCATATTGTCTTTAGTGTTGACTTTTTCAGATTTAGACATTTTATAGCTACATTTATTTCCAGGAACATGAAGAAAATATAGAAAAAATGACTTCAGACTTTGAGGATGAAATATTTACATCAGTTTTTGATTTAGTGAATTAACACATTGTGAAATTTAAGTTTTAAAATCTCCAACCTCAAACTTTCTACAGTTCTGCAAAGCAGCAGAGATGCTTTCATGAACCAAAAGAAAATCAGAGAGTTAAGATTCAAAACGTAGATTTCTTCCATTTGTTTTCTGTAAACATTAAAAACCTCAAACACTCAAAACCACGTTAACAGTGTTAACAGATAAACCCAGAATGACTCACATCTCTGCCAGATTTACATTTACAAAATGTCATTAAACCGAGAATTTTGACCAGGATGCTAACGGGTTTGGACCTCAAACCTCTCAGCGTTTGAGATCGGACCGCTAAGAGTCGTTAACTTTAAGTAAAATGACTCTTAGAAGCTAAATCAGTCTGCATAATTAGCTGCAGGTCTCAGAGCTTCTCGTTTCACGTAAACTCCTCCGTTTGTTCCCCTCCCTGCTTCTGACACCTGAACACAGAAGCAGCAGGAAGTGAAATTTCTGAGTGTTTACTTGAAAACACACTGACCTTTGTGGTTTCTCCAGTGGCAGAGCAAGATCAGCGCAATCAACAACAAAAGGCCGGCCACAACAGGAAGTAGTACGAATGCAATGGGAGCTGTAGGCGTTTGAGGCCTGCGCCCTTTAAAACACAAAGATAGCAGGTTAGCTGGCCTACATACAAACAATACCATCATCTCTGCGCAAATGAAGGCGGCAGATAAAACCCACTGCTCTGAACTCCAGAGATCACGTCCTTTTCACATTTATCGATGAAAACAATTTAATTTCTTTCTGTTAAATCATATTTAATGATGATTCAGGTGGTTAATAATCTGGTAATTCAGTTTCTAAATGCAAATTATAAGTCATATCAAGAATCTTTAAATAGTTTTAATTTACCCCAAATTCAAATCAACTGGATTCACACAGCCTAAGCATTTTATTCATTAGAATCAATCAACACATTTTAGAAAAAGAATAAGAAATAAAAAATTTTACAAATTTACACAAGTCAAGACTGCAATTTTGTGCATATTAATTAAAAAAACAGACTGACTTTTGGCACTATTGTCTTCCATAAATATGTCTCACCTCTTACATCCAGCCAGATTTCTGCTGATTCTCCGACTCCAGAGGCGTTACATCTATAAAATCCTTCATCAGATTTAGAAACGCTCTGGATGGTGAAGGTTCCCGTCGAGCTGTTCCCGACCAGAACCCCGTTTCTATAGAAAGCAGTGAGATTGGAGGATAACGGTGGCCTGAACCTGCAGTGAAGCGTCAGGGCTTCTCCTTCATTAACTGGATGTCCAGGACTCTGCAGGATCAGAGGTTCATCTGAGAAACAAAACGTGAAAGAAACGAGTTTTAAATGAGTCAGAAAAAAATCTATGAGCATTTTTATCTCCTGCATATGAAAAAACAAAGAAAGAAAATTACCTAAGTTTGCAGTTCCGGTATTTCCATTAAATAATTAATGTTAATAAAATCAGACCTGAATAAGTTTGTTCACACAATAAGACATTAAAAACGCCACGCCCTCATCATCATACCACTTCCTGTTTTCTTCTTTGTCTTTCCCACCAATAGGAACATCCGGTTGTTGATCACAATTTATGAAAAAAGTTTTCTCACTGCAGCTTTATGAAATATACAAATTTTATAGTCTGAAAAACAAACAACATGGTGACAAAACGTTTTCATAGAAAACTCGTCCATTTTGAAAGTGCCGTGTTTTATTAAGCTCTTTTTTTATTATTATTTCAATTTGAACAATTAGATGATCACAGTCAAGTTTTTGACTTTACAGATTCAAGATTTTTCTCTCTATAAACATTTTATAGATTTTCAGCTTTTAGCTTGTTGCTCTGATTACATGAGAATCAACAGAAATCGGGTCGAAACTCTTCCGATGTTTCATCATGAAATAAATTTGGCGGTAATGTGAGACGGAGACGTTTCAGGAACCAAACTTTAACTGAAGCTTTTCTGTCTGCCAGACCACAAACAGGTCGGCCTGAATCAGTTACAGCGAAGAATCAGATCAGATCAGCTTCTGCTCACGTTTAACCCACCTGTTATGCTGATGTTGACTGAACCGCTGCGTTCGCCTGCTGCAGATTCACACCAGTAAACTCCAGAGTCTAATTCATACAGCTCACTAAGTTGCATTTCAGATTCATTATGTGAGTTAAATATGAGGGACAGAGTCTATTTATTTGTTTGGATGTATTTCTCCAGACTCTCCACTCAGTCGATTTTCCTTCACAGCTCAGAGTGACAGACTCATACCGGAAGAACTGGGATCTGCTGGGGAAAAGCCTCAGACAAACTGCAAAGAGGAGAAAAACCTTCAGAGAGGAAAAGTTTTCACACCGTTTCTGATTGAGTAAAACAGAAAAACAATAAAATATCATTGCTTTATTTTGTCTGCTGCCGTTTTGAAGCATCAGTCAAGTTTTCACAAAATGCTGATTCACATTCATGACAGACTCAACGACTGAAGCTGATATAATCGATTTGATCTGATGCAACAATAACCATCAAAGAGGAAACACCAAAGCAGGAAACTCTCCGATCTTCATGTTTCCCACAAATAAAGAACTCAATTAGCTGAAGATGTTTACATTTTAGTTTTCATTTTAGTTCAGAGAGAGCAAAACATTCAGATCTTAGCATCAGAGAAATGCGTCTTTAGTTACTTCTAGTTAAAAACTAAAAAATAAAATAAAAATCTAAAACATGAGTTTTAGAGTCAATGAACCAGAAGATGAATCGCAGATAAAAGTCTTTAAATTACGTTAAAAATGATCTTTACTCACCAGCAAGCGCAGAGAGCTGCTATCTCCATCCTGAGCCGCTGCACTGAGGCGCCTCGCCATCGGGGGTTTCATCATCACACCTCTGATGACTGTGTCAAACACACCACAGCTTCCTGCTAACGCGATCAACTCCAGGTACAAATATGTGAGCATCTTGTTTGTGCAGGAGCTGTGAAAAAAGAAGAGAGAAACGCTGAGAAGCTCAGAAAAGGTCAAACATTTTGGTGCACCAGGCTGCAGGAAGTGGTCAGAAAAGGTGCCAGGCCAGGAGCATGCAGAAAGTGATGCAACTTACAGCCTGAGGTGAACGAAGCTTCGTCTGGTGCTGACCCAAACATTTAACTAAAACTGCTTTACAAGTTAAATAAGATGTGATGTTTTACTTCAAAATGTTCAGTGATTAATCTATATGCTGCTTTTATTTCTCAAAAGCTTTAAAGAGTGACGGGGCTCTTTAAAGGCTGACTGTTCAAGTGTCACAATAAACTATGATGTGATATGAAAGTTAATTTACTGCTGTAATTAAATACAAATAGAAATTCACTAAATCAACACAAACTGTTTCATTTTCAACTGATTATTTCTACTATGATTACAGCAAAACCCAGTTTGTTTTCAGGAATTATAATAAACCAGAGGATCAATAAAATGCTTTAAACAGAAATATCAACCCACAGAAAATGATCTCGATCAGAACGTGTTCAATGTTTGGCTGTGACTTTCTGTTTCAGAGCAGAGCAACATGGTGGCTTTTGACTCTGCTGAGGTTTTTAGGAAACCATAAAATTATTTATAAAATCACACTAACTGCACTAGAAGGGAGGAAAACATCAAGAAGCATGCAGAAATAGGAATGGTAGATTTTGGAGCCTCATTTTAAGCTAAGAAATATCAAATCAACCAAGATTTGATGTCAAATCAGTTCAGTGAAGAGTGTAATATTTAGATGAAATAATGGTGAAGTAAGCGTTATGTTTGGTTCCCAGTAACAATGTTTATAATTAATGGTAATAATCTGTTAATGTTATTAATCTGTTTTATTGTTGTTGTTGCAGCTGGACTCACTGTGATGTCATAACGCTACCAAACCCTGCTCCTCTTCCCCTGCGTTCAGGCTGCGTTCAGGAGCCTGAACGCACCTCAGGTTGCGTTCAGGAGCAGCCTGATGAACAAATTGACCTCGATGAGAAACTTTGGCTCCATGGTAGCGGTTGCTCTCTGCTGTTGTGGATCCGGTGGCTGATCTCCATCCGTCAGGCTAACGGCCTGAAGCTAGCGCCTGAAGCTAGCCGCCTGATATAATCTAAAGGCTCTGAAAGAGGCTGACTGATCATGAAGTGGTTTTCCTTCTGCTGTTGAGGCGCACAGCGCTGAAACCACAGCTCTGAGTCTGACACGCCGCCATCCAACCAGAGCGGCGGCCATGTTTGCTCTGATCAGACTCAACCAGTTTACCTGTCAACTGTATTTATTCAGTTACAGTTTGTTAATTATATTGTTTTGCTTTTCTTGTTGTGCTGAACTGTGTGAGTTAATAAAGCTGGAGAGTCGAATTCACTCTTTGTTTAGAGTTTTACTTTAAAGTTGTGACTAACTTTGGTTGAAAAGTGAGGATTCAGTAATGTGAGTGTGTTTGTTTTATTTCTGGTTTTCCTTCATTTTTAGCAATAATAAAATATATCTGGACAGACTTTAAACTTATTGTAGCGCCTCCTTGTTGGTGACCATAAGTCCATTAAATCAGCTACTGATCACAACATTATTAACTTGTCCAAATGGTAGGTCAATGTTTCTTATTCAGTAAATTATTTCTGAAACATTTTATTAATATAGTGTTTCATTTTCTCTTCTGCTTTCTGAACTGGGTTTTTAAACTCCTACCATTTGATCTTAGTGGTTTCAAAGATGCCTCATTAACCAATTCTCAAATCAAACCTTGGTTTCTTTTTTACTATTATTTTTTTCATGATTTATTAGTTTTTATTATTCTCTTCTCTACTTTTAATAGCTTAGTTTTTGTTTGCCTGGTTAAAGAGTTTGTTGACTGAGATATTTTTTATATATACAGTATATAAATTCTGATATATTGGAGAGAAATTGTTATTTTTCATATGTGTAGGTGACTTCAAACAAGTCATGTGGTTAAAAACACGTGGAGACTTTCGCTTCTGTAGGGAATCCCGTGACGTCATAGCTGACGGGGAGATGCCATGACTAACTGGGAGTGGCTGGGATAAATATTAATATCTCTCAGTGTCACGCTGTCGCTCTCTGTTTACATTTTTGTTTTTCCTGTTGAAGCAGACCCTGATGTTTGTGGAAAACAAACATGCAAAGACATTCACCCGGACTTCTGTCTGGTTTGGTTTTTGCACTTTAAGTGACATTTAAATCACGATGCAGAAATGTAAATCTCCTTTAGAAACAGAGTAAAACTTTAGATTCTTAAAGTCATAATAAACAAATCAAAACAGCTCAGCTCTGTTGTTAACTAAAATGCTCAAACTATAAGTTGATAAAACGTTCCTCCTGAGTCTGTCTGTCCTGAACAGTAATCTAGAAACAAGTGGTCAGATCTTACCTTCATGCTGTAAAACACCAAATAAACCACAGAGAGGGAAGTAGGTCTGTCCCAGCAGCAACAGCAGCGCCTCTGTGATAACCCTGTTCTGATTGGCTGAAACCAACCAAAACAGAAACTCCAGGATATTATCTCAAATTTTGTTTTTTGTTTTTCCATTCTGGGAAAAAATACCCAAATTAAACAGAAAACCAGAGTAATATGTTTTTGTTTTTGTTTCTTTGCTTTTGGGTTTTTTTCTTGTTTTCCCCCAAAATCTCCATTAAAGTTGATAAACACACATGTAAAGAATCTCTAACGGGAATAGAGGAAAAAACATCAAACAAAAATATAAAATCAAAAGGATAAAAGAAGAAAGACACAAACAGGAAAATAAATAAATCTCCCAACAATGTAGAAACAATTCAACCAATAATAGATTGAAAGCTAAATCTAACATGAACCTATGATAAATAAACATTATCTTCTTTCTATGTTTGTTATGTAAACCTGCAGCATCAGGTAGTAAATCAACAATTGAACTTTGCTATTAGTAATAATAACCTGATAAATAATAAATGTTATTTATTTAGCTGTAAAGCACTACAAACTATAGAGCAGCTTAACAACCTGAAGTTGATAAAAACTCCGAGTTGTCTCAGTCCTTCTCTCCAGAGCTGCTACGTCATGAAGTCCAGGATGTCGAGGCTCTGATTGGCTGTTGCTCTATGACTAATCGCGGTTTGTATTGTTGTGTTGCTATGGTTCCGTAGCTCCGCCCATTACGTATAAAAGGTAAGCGTCAGTCGTTTCCGTAGCAGTTCAGTGAAACTCCGGTTCGGCAGAGGAAGTGACCATATTTCTGTTGTAATGTCGGTACCAGTTGGTCTCTGTGAGATTTTCTTCAGCCGTTCAGGATTTTGGACTTTTATCTTCTTCGTGGTTCTGCTCTGGACGCCTGTTAAAGGTAAACGTTGCTGCTTTTCTCCTCAACTTAAGTTAAACTGGTACTAAACAACCAGAAGCGTCTCCATTCCAACTTTCATTCATTGATTCTTTAAACAGCGAACAATGAATGACTCAGCTGTTTCTAGACGGTCTGTCCGTCTCTGTTTTCATTTTTAAGTAACTTATTTGTGTCTTTGTTTTCCTCTGACCTCATTCTGCTGTTTATACTTATATTATTAAACAGAAAACTCACGGACTCTGAACATTGACCGTCATGCACTGCGACGTCCTGACGGTTCAAATTGTTTCACGTTGGTTGATTAAAAGTCTTCAAATCTGAAGATAAAGAAAAACTTCATAAACTTTGTTAGAGATTAAGAAAACTTTAAAAAATCCGCTATTTTTGATATTAAATCGTTTCCGCCGGTTGTCCGATAAAAATGGTTCTGACTTTTATTTGTAAGTGATGCTTTCCATTATTTAATGATTACTATTGACATCAAATAATCAATAATAAATACTGATAGCACATGTTAGTGCCATCAGCATGTCAACATGTGCTGACTCACCTGCTGACTCACCATATCAGCTGATTGCTGATATCAATCAGCTGATGCATAATTAATTAATTATGCATAATTAATTAACGAATAATTAATTATGCATTAAAATATTGATATCAGCAATAATTAATGCATATAGAGCTTAGTCAAAGTCATAAGTGGGTGTGACATCATGTCTTAAATGAAAATGAAATAATCTATCCAATTTATTTTCATTCTTTTTGCTCTCTCTTTTGTTTTTGTTTTTTTTAAGAAATTGCAAATGACAGAAAATATTTTTCAGTTGGACCACAATGTATTAGGGTCTGGTTACAAGAATTATTCTCTAATTATGAGAATATAGATTTAATATTAGAATAATTAAAATGCAAGTTTTACCAGAACCTCTTAAAATTGTGAGAACTCGTGTTGGAGTTCTAATAAAATCTCCTAATATTACCATTTTATTTTGGTAATATTAAAAATAAAATACTAATATTTTATTTTTAATAAATCCATTCTTTTGTCAAATAACTTTATTCTCGTATTATGACAACTGTATTTTTTAATATTATGGCTTCTTCAGATTTACTGTAATACAGACCACAATAAGAGATTCTTCCTTCCAGGATCCATCACAATCTTCAATAACTCCTTCTAGAATATGAAGTGATGAGTTACAACATTTAGTTTTCCCTTGGGATCAATAACATATTTTTGAATTATTTCTTCATTCTAGTATAAAAGAGAAAAAAATCTTTATAACAGTTCTGGGTGCTGACATCACACTGAACAATGGAAACGTTCGGAGTGAGTTGGTGGGATGAGGGAGTCCAAATTTACCAAAATGTAAATGTAAAAACCCAATCGCTTTTTAACTGATAAAATGGATGGAAAACTTGGGCTTTTAGCTCAGGGAAAATATTCAAATTAAAAGCAAAGCTTTAGAGGAGGAGCTACTGGAGAACAGAATTAATGCAATGATTTAAATGACAAAATAATTAAAATGATTGTTGATTCAGGTAAGAGCAAATGGAGCTTAACGATTTCGCTTGGATAAAAAGCGAAATCGTTTTTATCGGAAATCGGAATCTGCCAGAAAATTTTCTGGCAGATTCCAGAAAATTCCAGATTTTCTGGCAGATTCCCCTAAAAGCTGCTTATGTTACAAACTTCCTGGAGAAAACCTGGTGGAAACCTGATCCTCCACAGGTGGATCATGTTTCTTTCTGTGGGGATTTCCACTCTTGGGGGAACTACCCTGAAGTTTCAGGGATTTACTTTAATCTCATGATCATGTTTATGAAACCTAATAAAATCTTCCCTGTGTCCAGGGAGCCTCCATCTGATTGGTTCCTCTCAGCCAATCGTAGCTGCGCCTGGAGATGATGTCATCCTCCCGTGTCGTGTGGATCCTGAGTGGGACGCTGTGGGGATGACGGTGGAGTGGTCCCGACCGGACCTGAGACCGTCCGGCCCTCAGAAGCGTGTGGAGTACGTGTTCGTGTACCGCTTCAGGAAGACGGACCGAGACATGATGATGGACACGTACATCCAGCGGACGTCTCTGTC